CCTTGGGCAAGCTGCACAATCCCAGGGCACCCCCAGAAGAAAGGCAAGGATAAACCAATTCTGAGTACTCGTTACCTGGAAAACCCTGAAAAGGGTCATCAAAAGTAATAATTGACTTGATAGCATGTTTTTTTAAAAGGTGATATGTTCAGTGGCCACCAGATTAGAAAACAGGAATGAAAATCTAATACTTTGAATGGATCTAGACCTGATTGTATTTAAACTTGTTAAAATAATCTTATTTGGGATTTTTGAAACAAGAGAAACTATAAAGGTAGACCTACTGCATCAATTTAAAAGTAATTTAATAACTCAAGTACTCTTGGCAGATGACCCAGGAATAAAATATCATTGAGAAGTATCAGTTATCAATTTGATGATGAGGGCTTCCAAATGAGGCTGTTATTATGCAGCTACATGGACTATTACACGGGGTCAGACATCGTTCAATTGGCTACGCTTCAACACTTTCTCTATGCTTTTCTCTCTTTTTCCTACCTTCACCACAGCCACTACACACAGACAAAATTAAGGAGGGAAAGCCATAATTGCTAATAGTGGATTGCACTAGGGTTTGTCCACTGGAAGCACCTATGTTTTTATTGTGATCTTTTGTGTTTTTAGCACGTATACATTACTGTAACTGTGACATCTACGTTGGCTTGGGCATGTCATGAGAATGGCTGACGGTCAGATTCCAAAAGTTCTCCTGTATGGAGAATTAGTACAGGGAAATCATCTCAGAGGGAGACCACAGCTGCAATACAAGGATATCTCCAAGCAGGATCTGAAGGCCTTAGGAATGGACCTCAACAGATGGGAAACCTTGACATCTGAATGTTCAGCCTGGCGGCAGGTGGTGCAGCATGGCATCTCCCAATTTGAAGAGATCCTTGTTCAGCACACTGAGGTAAAGAGGCAGTCCCAAAACTAGCAAAATCAGGGAGCTGGACAAGGGACAGATTGTATTTGTCTTCAGCGTGGAAGAGATTGTCACTCTCAAATTGGCTTTCTCACCCACACTAGATGCTGTTCCAAGACAATCTATTCAGAGCACGTTACCACAGTCTCTCAAGACTGAAGGATGCCTATGACCCTTTCTGTTTCCAGAAGATTCCCACCTAATTTTTCTTTTCAAATCCAGCTGCACCTGCTTTTCACATTGTTAAAGTGCATACATAGGTTTCACCGTGAAGTTCATACATGTTGTATGGAAGATGAACTCTATTGTGTCCATTCTGATGAATGGATACGATACAGCAAAACCTTTTTAATGAGCAGAATACTGGGCTATTACATATTCCTATGCCAAACCTCACAATTGTATTATTAGTCAGCACCAGATGGATGTGATAAATAGCATTTTGGAAAAGAAGAACAGTTATTCCATGTGGGTGGAAGGGTGTGAAAAGATAATCCCTCAGTAATGACATCTGTGTCATTACTGAGGCATAAACTGGCAGCAGCTGAGATATCCAACTCTACCCCCACCTGCCATGAATATTTTTCCCCTCACATTATTTTGCCATGGGAGCAAGCCTATTTCATATACTTTGAGCAGGTGGGATTAGATATGATGGTAACCAAGCTTAGAAAAGGTAGGATTTTCGACAGCAAGAATTCCCAGAATTCTTAACTGGCATAGCCACTGGAAGATTCTAGAAGCTGTAGTCTAGAAGAGCAGCCTTTCCGAGCTTTGGGTGATAAATCACAGGAAATTACAGGCCGGTTAGGTTCATGTCTATTTTTAGTAAACCGGTAGAAAACATTATTAAAGGTAAACTATTAAGGATATTGAATCATAAGCCCTGCTGAAAAAGGACCAACATGGCACCTTACAAAGGCGGAATAAACTTTTAGAGTTATTTGAAACTGTCAAATGAACAGGTGGATGGGGTGGTCCATGCTCATGGCACTGCGATACTGCAGCCAAAACTCTGCTCAGGACCCAGATTCAATCCCAGATAGCTGTCTTGAGGTTATTTTAGCTTTCCATCCTTCTGAAGTCAGTAAATTGAAACCCAGCTTGCTGGGGGGGGGCAATGTGTAACCTGCATAATTAAACTGTAAACCTCCCAGAGAGTGCTTTAAGCACTATGGGGTGGTATATAAGCAGCATGCTTCAGACATTCTTGACCTGAGGACTTCCAAAAAGACTTTGGATAAAGTTCTTCTAAAGGATTCCTGAGTAAACGTTGCAGTTATGGGATAAAATACATCCTCAAAGAAAAGGAAGCAGACAGCAAGTAAAAATGGCTGGTTTTCCAATGGAGGGATGCGAGCAATTGCAATGGGGTTTCTTAGCAATCTCCGTTGGACCCAAAGCTTTTACACTTTTTCATAAATGACCCGAAGATAAGGGGAGCAATGAGGCACCCAAGTTTGCTGATGGCTCAGCAAAAGTGGTGAAAACAAAAATGATTCTGTTCTAAGGAGCATCAAAAGAATCTTTCCATAATGTGAGAGTAGCTGTTCAAATGACAAGAGATTCAATATAAACAGCTGTACACTGGGACAAAAAAAATTGCCTAACTTCATCAGGGAGACCTGATAAAGGAGCATGAAACTGATCTGAACTGGAAAAAAAATGACCAAGAGATTTTGGAGGTTGACTGGATAGTCCGATGAAATGTCAGCCCAGTGTGCAACTGCTTTTTTAAAAATGAAAACGTTAAATTCCATGCCGGGCATAATTTTTAAAAGGGAATATTGAATAAAACTGGCAATGGCATACTCCCCTTGCATAAATTGATGGTGTCTTTCCTTGCTTGGAATACGTTACTGTGTGGTTTTGGTTAATGCACCTGGGGTGGGGGAGGGAAGAATATTTTAAAGTGGGGAAAGGTCCAGAAAGCATAGGTGTAGGACAGGGAAAAGGGTGCTTTTGCATACAATGCACAAGTAAACTGAGGAATTTGCTACAGCAAAACGTAGCAATGGCTGCCAATGCAGATGGCTCTGCAAGGGGACTGGACCTAACTGCAGTTGCTGCCAAACGTGGTGGTGAGAAGTGCAGGGGCTACTCTTGGTTTTAGCAGCATCCCCTGGCACTACTGGAGTTTTGGCCAGCAGCAGGTGGGTTGAGTGGCTCCTCCAAAGCCACCCCCCCAGCTCTGACTTAATTAATGGCCAGTGTTTCTGAAGTTGCAACCATGCATATATACAGTATTAACTCTTGCCAGATAGCACACAAATCAGCGTGTTCTATTTATTGGGGATGCACTTCTAACAAACAGAAGGGAGGGAAGGTGATCCACAAGTAGACAACCTGTTGACCCTGTTTCTGTCATAACTGTGTGCAGATCGTGATGCACTGATTTTATTTCTCTGCAAAAGTAGGGAAAGCTGACATGGGAATGTATACCATGAATTAGGCAGTTTACATCCATTTTAGTTCTTACAATCATCCATCCTAAGGATGACATCAAGCTATTTTGAGAGATACTCCAGACCATAAAAGGACTCACTGCCTTATTGAAACCTTACTAAAACCCTCCTTTGCTCTGCCCACTGCCAGCTGCTTCCAAGACAACTTTTTCATTCTCATGTTCCCTGCCCAAAGATGAGCACCAAGTAGAAAAAGGATGGCTATTCTTACAGGAGAGTCACTTGCAGCTGCAACCAACATGCTTTCTGAATGCTTAGTAGACATCTGCAGAGGAGCAGAAATAATTAGAGCTGTGGTTCCCAACCTTGTGTCTCCAGATGTTCTTGGACTACAACTCCCAGAAATCCAGCACAGCAAGTGGTGAAGGCTTCTGGGAGTTTTAGTCCAAGAACATCTGGGGACACAAAGTTGGGAGCCACTGAATTAGAGGAAGCCAAGAAGAAACAAAGTCACTGAGGTGACTTGAACAAGACCCAAATGATGATACACATAATGAGGATGCTCATGAGAAGCATGAGACGGTCAAATGAATAGCTTTCAGGGTAACTTTGGAAATTATCTAAGCCATGATGGACAGCAGGAAGACAGGGTGGGAAAGAGTGGGAAGAGGGACCTGATGGAGGAGGATCTAACTGACAAAGTTGAGAACTGGCTCCAGCGTGAGGGAGAATGAGGACTCTGCCTTAGGCAATATATCTGGTGCCTTCTCAGAGCGCAGCGTCTTGCTCCATAAGGTATTGTTGCCTTTGTGCTGCCAGGGAGAGCTTGTGGGATTTTAATTTGACCAGCCATGAATTTATGAGGGAGGTTACTGTGTGACATTACCTTGGCTGCTTTACATCAGGCAACAAAATGTTGACCTTTGACCCTGGACGGAGTCAGAAATTAGACAGATGAAGAAAGACAAGTTGGCACAGGTGGAGATAAGGTCTCCTTGTAAATGCAGAACCACTGCCCGTTCTTCTCAAAGCTGATTCTCTAAGACAAGGCTGGGCACTTCTTCCCCGTGCTGCATCGTTTCTCCCTTTCTGTGTGCCCAGAGACACAACACCTACCCAGTGCCTGTTGCACCTTGGGTGCTGTTGGAGGAGGGTGGAAAGGTTGTTTAGGTGAAACAGATCCATACTCCTAAACATCCTAACACCGGCTCTCGTACACTCTGCCACAACATGAATCATACTGGCATAAAACACTTGCTGCCTAGGTGGGGGAAAAACATCTCCCCACAGGAGGCTACTGGGCCAGCTAGAGAAGGTACCTCTAATTATCTGCACAGCACCAGAGCTTTCTGAACCTGCTAATGAAAGAGGTGGTGGGGGGGAGGAACAGAAAACCTCCTCATTTCAACCCTGCTACCTGCTTCACCTGCTGCTCCTGATCCAAGAAACAGAAGACAAGTCTGGGTGCTTTAGATAAATTGTTCTGAACTAGCTGGTCCCTAAGGAGGCCCCCTCTGTCATCCGCACTGAGGACTCTACTCTTACCTCCCCATTCGTCCTGCGCTTCCCTCTTCTACAAGAAAAAAGCACCACCTGCTACAGCATCCCCTTCCTCCTCCTCCCCCTGCCGTTTATGGCATCTCATGAAGTGCCTCTGATACAAACTGCCTTACCTTCTGAGAATGGTGCTCTTGGCCCTTCTTCATTGTGGAGTCACGTTGCTATGCACTCCCTCCCCGCGTTCATCCACACATGTTCTTTCCCTCTGTGCGTGTGTCCCTCTTTCACTTGCTCAGGCGACAATCTCTCTCTCTTTTTCTCTCTGTCTCTCTGTCTCTCTGTCTCTCTGTCTCTCTCTCTCTACGTAGAACAACAGAGAGGACAGGAGGTGCTTATCCAATAAAACAAAATAAACAAAATAAAAGACAGAAGAACAAATCTTCTCTCTGTCTCTTTCTGGATTGTTCCTTCTTCCTCTTCTTGACAGAGTATTACTGGCAGAGAGAGAAGAGATGCAAACACTATCTAGAATGAGGCAGAATGAGAGAGAGAGAGAGATGGAAAGAGAGAGAGAGAGAGAGAGAGCCTCTAGGGAGGGCTAGCGGGCACACAGGTTTGCTGAGAATTAGATGGAAATTGTGATCTGACAAGCCACAAGTGAAGCGCAGGCAAACACTGTTTATGCCAAGAGGATATGTTCCCTGGTGTGTTTAAGTGAAGATAGCCAAGGAAGATAGCCAGGACTGTTTACAGACATGATGCCTCTGAATACCAGTTGTTTGGGTAGGAAACAGTAAGGGGAGTTGATAGCCTTCATGTCCAGCTTGTGGGCTTTCCAGAGTTGTGTGGCTGACTCTTAAGGCCAGATTAGATGAACAGAGGTTGTGCTGATCTGACATGGCTTTTGTTACATTCTTTCATTTGCTATCCAAACGGTCTTCTTCCACAGCTGGGCCACTCAAGAAAGCATGAAGAAATGTTGTTTTGCCCTGCCACTGTAGCTTCAAAAAGTTACTTTTGGGGACTCCAGTCTCAAGAACCTCCCCTCAGCATGGCTAGCAGTTGTGCTAGCTGGAGGGTTCTGGGAGCTGAAGGGGGGGGGGGAGAATCCAACTCTTTGAGCTCTGCTTTTTCAAACAAGCCAGCCAAATTCACAGTTTCCGAATTCATTTGTGGGTTGGAGAGCAGCTCTCCTTCACCTCACACACTGATTCAGATGCTGCAATGGAGGTCCTAGCTTTTTCGTTTGTTTGTTTTGTTAAAAAAATGGCCTACAAAAAGGTACATTTCAGAGAAAATGGACAAGAGAATCAGTATTTTACAATAAAATGCATACAAGCTCAATGTAAATTTTCACGAAGTTTTTAAAAATTATCCCAGACAACAGGGATGGGATGAAACAGCTGGCTGATCCCATGCAAAAGTGACAGAAAGACAGTGCTCCAGTCATCCCTGTTTAGGAAGAGTATTTTTTAAAAAGAAAACATCCATAATGGGAGATTTGGGGTACTATGGAAGAACTATAAACTAAGTCCACGCAATGAATAAATAATAACAACTATGTGTTATTGTAACCTCTATGTTGTTTAACCAGAGTGGCCTTGTAGCCAGATGGGCAATATAGAAATTCAATGAATGAATGAATGAATGAATGAATGTTGGTTCAGCCCAAAGGGCTGGAACTAAGAAAGAGCAGGGCTATGAGTAAGACATTTGAATCAGAAAGAGTGGGACAGCTGACCAGGCTGGAGCTGCTACTTAGACAGCTAAGGCCCTTGCCAACGTGGTCTAGGTATAATTCCTATATGTTTGTGCTGGAAGGATGAATACACATAATGATTTCATGTACAGTACATGCAATCAAATTGATATTTTATTCTAGGGTTTTGAAGACTGCACATGGAGCTGATTCTTCTATATTATGAATATCCATTCCAGTTGAGGAAATATGTTGTATTTTTGTCTGACTTTGAAATTCAAAAGGAATTTTGTAAATTTGCAATTCTATGAGCAACTCCTGTATTGGTGCTATTGCCAAGGACTTGGGTGCACAAATTGTAACATTTTATTTGTGTTATAATTGCTCATGTTGTCTGTTATATAACTGTGAATAAGAAGAGACTAATTTTTTTTATCCTGAATGTGCTTCAGAGCTTGAAGGGAGAGAGCAATTATGACAGTTGTTAAGTCTCACAATGTGATGATAATAGCACACAAGAGACATTTTCAGTAAACCTATTCACATCATTGGAAGTCATCACACTTCTTGTTTGCTATTATTTCCTCCCTTCTGGGCTAAGTTATTTGCGGGATTGTATTGTTTCTGCAACAAATGAGTTGAAAGATTTTTATGTACATAGTATACACACAATGGATGATGGATATGTAAACCTGGCTTCTGTAAATCTAAGTTTACATGATGCAGAGAGAGAAAAAGTAAATTGTTTAAGGTCAAACATAAACAGGAAGCAATTGATAACTATAAAAACAATAACCTTCTGAGTTGAAATGAGGACGCCTGAAGTTTTATTTAGGATAAACTCCCATTTTATTTTTGATAAACAGTTGGTCATGAACTGGAATTAGCTAACAACTGTATTTGCATTTCTGTGACTTTCAGATCGAAGTTTTGATATATCTTTGAATGTGTAGCTGTGGACACTCTTGCAATACACTTCTGCTACCCTTTTAGGATAAAAGCTCATCTGTGTGGCCTTGAGCAAACTACACAATCACAGAGGGCCTTCAGCATCACTTCTGACTACATTGTACTAGAGATGGGCACAAACCAATTTGCCCCAGTTCATAAAGGTGGCAGCACAGGTGCTACTGCTCCCTCCTTTGCCTCAAATAGCCACTTGCTGGGCCCAGCTGGCTTTTTCTTTCCACCTCCTCAGACAGTCTCCCAGTCACAAGCAAGAGCACAGATTTCTCTGCCCTGCCCTTTTGACTGAGTGAGAGAGATCAGCCAAGAGGGCGGGGCAGAGAATCCTGAGCTGTTGCCGAGACTGGAAGATCATTTGAGGAGTTGCAGAAAGCTAGCACACTGGACGTGGTGCGGGTTCTGTCTGGCGATTTTCAAGTTTCAGCCTTCGCGAATACATTTTAGAAATTTCCCCATACAGTACTTGACTCTGGTATTGGTATGGAGGGTTTTGAATCTCTTGTATACTTGTTTGTTTGTTTTAAGTCTAAGTTTGATGTTTTTATGTATTGCAGAGATTGTGTGGATCTGAGTTGTCCTCTGTATGATGGGTCTGAGGACTGTAGGTAAAGAATTGTTTGATTATGAGGTAGCTTGTAAGGAGATCATCACCCCACCAATCGAAGAAAAAATAGATTTGAGTTTCTTGATACAAACTCCAAAATCACTTATAAAATAGCCAGATTTTGTATGGTGATATTCAGGCCTCGGAAATTCCATAGTAACTAGATACTAGATGTTAAATTGTGTTTTAAATGCCATTTTTTTTAAAGAAAGTACCTAATGTTGAAATGTTATGGTTTGAATCAACTTGATAATGTAACACTTTAAAATTCTATGGGGCTCTTTATTGAAAAAAGAAGTGAACACTCCATCCAGTGCTTCTAATCCTTTTAAATCCATGCAACAAACAGCAACCATTGCCATCTGGCACAATTTGCATTGTTTACATTTGAGCGTTATTTGTACTTGCACTACAGTTATTTGCAGAATTTTACTTCATTGGCACAAAAGTATTGTTCTCCTTTCCCCTTGAAAAAAAAAGATGCCCCAAAAGTAACTCACCTCTTAAGGGATGAGGAGAATAATGTAACAGTTCCTCATTCCTGGCTGCAAAGATGAGATAAGCAAAGGTTCACACCCCTTCTCAAGATTAGAGAAATTTCACACTAATCTTCTCATGCGGAAAGCATCCGTCATCTTGCAAAGTATTCCTTTTTCAGTTTCCCATCTCTCTGCCAAGAAGGAATCAATTTAGTACTTACTGGGAAACATGGCTCTTCAGAACATTGTACACCCTTGTAAATAATAAAGGCTTCCTGTTTTCTGCTTGCCTTATTTTACAAAAAGGAAATTATCCGTTCCTCAATGCTGGCTCCCTTTGGTCTGAGCTTAGGAAAGTTACTTTTTTTAAACATGGGTTCCCAGCATCTTGTAACTAACATGGCCTGTGGCCAGTATCAGTACAAGTAACTTTGCCAAGGTGTCTGGATCTGACCTATTTCCACATAGTTTCATCTAAAAACGTGAGCATGCAATAAATACACAGTAGTAAAACAGAAGATACAGAGAGACTCCCTGGATCTCACCAAGCAGCTGCTAGGTGCTTCCCAGTGTACAGCTACAAATGCTTTCAGCTGAAATGAAAACCTTTATTTTATTCCAAATTGTTTGCAAGTGCAGTTGATTTCATTCTTTTATTTTTAGATCCACCGTGTTTCTTGCAGTTTCTAAACAGACAAATGCTGAACTGGGCTCAGCAATGTAAACATACCTGCTGCTGGTGGCTTAGGAATTACCAGGAAGAATTGTGAGAGGACATATTTTTATTGCTGTCAAACCAGTGGTCTTACTCCACCTGCTGGCAAGAGCTTGATAGAAGCATGATTTTATAGATAGGCTGCACACAGGTATTTTGACTGCTGCAGCCTTAAAAGAAAGAACATTTACTGTTTGAGTCCTTTGCCCTGGATGCATGAATATGCATGTTAGGAGTAGGCATCCTTCAGTCTCGAGAGACTGGTAATGTCCTCTGAATAGAGGTCTTGGAACAGCATCTAGTGTGGCTGAGAAGGCCAATTCGAGAGTGACAATCCCTTCCACACTGAAGGGACAAATATAATCTCTGTCCCCTGTCCAGCTCCCTGATTTTGCTGCTTTTGGGACTGCCTCTTTGCCTTGGCCTGCTGAACAAGTGTCTCTTCAAATTGGGAGAGGCCGTGATGCACCGCCTGCCTCCAGGATGAACGCTCAGATGTCAGGGTTTCCCATCTGTTGAGGTCTATTCCTAAGGCCGTCAGATCCTGCTTGCAGATATCCTTGTATCATAGCTGTGGTCTCCCTCTGGGGCGCTCTCCCTGCACTAATTCTCCATACAGGAGATCTTTTGGACTATGCATGTTACTCAAGCACATATTTAAGTTCAGAGAGGCAAATTTATTTTATTCATTTGTTTAATTTATTTACATGCCATTTTTCTACCAAAACTGGGGGCCAATGTGTCTTACCATATAGTGTCCCCATTCTACAAGTTTGATCTGTAAAATCAGGCTGTTGTTACTCTCTTTTAAGCTTTGCACTAAGCCAGCATCCTTGTGGAGAGAGGGGGTGATGGATAGGTTATGATGATGAAAGTGCATTCAGCACATGCTGGCTGGAGTTCCTGAGTCCAGAAATGTGAAGAAAAAGTGTCAGGCAGTTACACCAGATGGGAGACAAAGGACACAGCTACAGAGCCTGGAAAAAGTAGTTTGATTCA